AGGAGCCCCACAACTCGTGATCCATCACGTTGATGAAGAACCTGAACACCGAGGGGCGGGAAGGCTGGTTGCTGGTGTGGGGTCGCGGGTTGCGGGCTGTTGGTTGGAGAGAGAAGACTGCCATAGAGGTTCGTGGTTGTGATTGCGGTGTGGTGGTTATGCTTCGGGGTGTGGTGGTTGTGGTGGTTGTGGGTCATCGTCAGGGCCCCTGGGGGCCCCTCCCGCTCCTCTTCCTCCTTCCCAACCTGCCCGCCGCCATCCCACGCTTTCTTTCGCTCCTCCGCCCAAAAGCCCTGAGTCTACACGCGTCACCCCCCATACCGCCCCAGGAGGCGGAAACTCACTCTCTCGTCCCGGGTATCATGGCCACGTGGCCGCGTCTGTACGGCAGGGACACACCATGGGCCAGGGCAACCGGGAGCGCGGCTGTCAGCGATGTTGGGGTTGGGGGGGATCCAAGGCGGAGGATCGCCGAGGAAACAGTCGACAGGTTGCTCCCGACTCTGGCATCATAACAGGTATTAGCCACGCAAACCCCCGCTCGCCCCTCCCATCCCCTTAACCGGCAACTTCCATTAAACCCATCTCGCGCAAAACCAATTCCACCCCCCATAACCCACACATCCCATCTATCCCAACCCCCTCGGCCCCCCTCAGGTCTTCTGGAGGGCAGCTCTGGTCCCTCCCTGGTCCTCACTGCGGAGGAAGTCACCTCGGAGGAGACCCGGACGGATGTGGCGGTGGCCCGGGCCCTGAAACAACAACGGAGACCGCAAGCGGATGCTGCAGCTGCGGCGGGGGGTGGAAGCGGTAGTGCGAAGCTGCTGCGGTTCTGGGGCCACACCATGTACCATATTGACGACCTGACTCAGCCACCAGAGGGCGGCGGCAAGGCTGCCTTTGCACCGGGTAAGGGAGTGGGTCGGTGGGTCGGTGGATATGGCCAGGTAAGCTCCATGCGGCCCACAAGAGAGTGTGTATGTGTGTGTATATGTGTGCATTTGTGTGTGTGCATGCGTTTGATAGTGGTGCACAGATGTACGTTCCGCTGGGGCCCCTCCCCATGTTATATATGTTCCCTCCCCCTTTTCCTTTATATCGCCGCCCCACCCTCGCGGCCTTGTTTTACCCCTTCAGGCATGAAGGACATGCCCGATGTGTTCACTCCCTTCCGTGAAAAGGTGGAGAAGCGCTGCCCGGTACGGAAAGACCTGCCGCCGCCGCAGAAGGGCGACCTGCCGCAGCCCCCGACGGAAGCACTCCCCGCCGCCGCGGCGGCGGCCCTGGCGGCGGCCCCGCCCACGTGGGAGCAACTGCCGTACCCGCCAGCGGCGAGGCCTCCGCCGCCCACCAAGCAACCCAAAGCGGTGCTGGACTTCAAGTAGGTTTCCGGGGTGGCGGACGGGGAACGTGGACCCATGGGTGGCTAAGCGACCACACCAAGCTAGGCCTGATGCGGTTTGGTGACGCATGGCTTTGGGCGAGGGGGAAGTGGAACTGACATCCTTTGTGTAACAGCGGAAAATTTATCACGAGGCGTAGAAGGCTTTGCCGCAGGAGGCTCTCACTACAGTTTTCACCACTGCACCTTCCCTAGAGAGGTTTCACTCACTTTAACTCTGAGGTCGCGTACGCGGAAGGTGCATTCATATCCACATTCGGTCATGCTTCCGGCCCCTCAGGCCTGCTCAGCGCCTTGAGGGCAGCCTCAACCTGATCCCCGCCGTCCATGGTCCATTCCACCGCGTTATCCAACGAAGCAGCGCACCTAATTAAACAGCGTAACAGCACTAAGGATAATTAAAAGGCGGTTTTCTGTTGCTCCGGCCCATTTCCTATGACGATGTCTACCGAGCCAAGGGACGGCGCACACTTATCCACTTGCCACACATGGTGGTGCATTCCGCGCCCTACTAGATTGTCACATGGTGCGTTGGGAACGTTAGAAAGTACGACGTTGGTGGGTCATGCAAACCGGAGGTGTGCATGTATCCTGCGTTATGGCGCCGCCCGGCAGTTCCCCCTCGCACGTCCTTGCCCGGTTGCGGACGCGCTTGTATCATCACAAGGAGACCCTCTGCTCTATCCTACTTGAGACGCCACTAGTTGTTCTTGCGGCTCTTTTTACCCATGTAAGGCAAGCCGGGCTTGTGGCGAGAGAGGCAGGAAGCACTCCGTTGGCGGCTTGCAGCTGCCACAGCGTCCTCTGGGTTGTAGCGAAACACGGCGCAGCCGTCGCGCTTCTCGCCCGTCGGGACGTAGCCACGGTGCACCCTCAGGGCCATAGCGACCCCGTGCCTCCATCTGGGGACTGTTCGGTACCTGAAGTGAGTCCGCCTATCCAGCAGCGGTGCTATGTGGGGGTCCCCCTCTAGGTACGCACATACGTCAATTAACGTGCCCTGGTGATCAGGCAGAAACTGGAAGGCCTTGCGAGTCCATGCTGCGTAGGTAGCACCCTTGCTGCTGATGGGTTTCTGCCTCAGGACCAATTCATCTGGAGACACCCCGTGCTCCAGCTGTATGCGTGTTTTGACGAACTTTTCCCTGATTTTTTTCTCCAGTTTTTTGTCATGATCCGGAATCCTGTCCCAACCCAGCTCCTGAAAAAGCTTTTCCAAGGGTGCCCGCCCGGTGGGGTGCTCAATCGCCACCCTTACCATAAGGTCTTTTTCGTGAGGCTTCCACGCGTACCTCTTAGCCAGCGGCGAATGCGCATCGTTGAAATCAATCAAAGGACCCAAGGCCAGCTGCGCCGTGCTTGCACAGTTTGTTGCTTGATTACCGAATTGCGTTTGGAAAACTGCTTGCAAAGTGCTGGCATGTCTCACTGCATTATTGACGATGAGGGAAGCAGCTTGGCTAGCTTTGAACGACAGCTGCGGCATTGGCTTAAGAGTCCCGTCTGTCCCGCATAACCTGCATAATATAAGAGCAACAGCAAAATAGTGAACTCCGTAAAGCGCATGTGTGCGTAGTCGGGACGTTTTGGCGTTTGACGTTTTAATTACAAGCTTCTTGAGCTTGTACGGCCCAAACGAGTCAAGAGGCTTATGACTGCCTGGTGATCATCACAGACCCGACACCACCGTGCTGCACGCTCCCTGCCGTGTGGTCGGTTGACAGCCAGCGCCTAGACACACGTCCTGGCGCATCAGTGTACGTGCTGTTTCGGCGACATATAACCGTCTCAGTGCCTAAGTTGCCCCATCCACCGCAAGTATCGGCACATCTTCACTTCGGTTGCCTGTTGTCGGAAACGAACACATGTGTTTCCACCGCCAAGCTCTCACTACCCCAGTCCTCATTAAGTCGGTCTCGGATCTCCCTCGTCAATCGATTTATGTTTAGGACATGCTATGCAGCGTTATGCTCTAGCTTCAAAACCTTCACCCCTACTGATAAGCTTCATTCCCCAGACATCGTATGATAAAGAACAAGTGAAGGCCAGGCGGAGCTATTCGCGAAAGCAGTATCCTGAAACGAATATTCGAAGTAGCAACACCGATGCTCCTGGTGGGGGTCGTCACCACTCCAGAGCCCGGGGGACCCTGTCGGGGCGTCTGCCATTGAGAACTGCGCATGGCTCGTCCAGCGGTCATAGATGCCGATGGCCCATCCATGCGAGCTTTGCAACACGAAGGTTAAGGCATTCATGCCTTCACGCCACTTTTTTTAGGCGAAAATGGACTGTGGAGCCGCTAAATCCTGCGGCACGACGTCTGCTCAACCATGACGTCACATCCGCAGCGCACCCATCGTACCTCCCCATCTGCCTTTACCGCTCTCATCCCCAAGCACCCTCCCATGCCGATTCCACGTCGTTACGCACACCCGGCCAGGGCAGCAGCGATCTCCCCTTCTACTGCCCCGGGCCATAAAAGCACACNGCCACGCTTCTCCCCCACAACCCCGCCGCCCCACGCCGACTCCCCGTCAGGCACCCCTCACCCTCATCTTTTTCCCATTCCTCCCCTTCGACCACCTATCTGCTCTCTCCTCACACACCATGCACTCCCCTGCATCCCCTCCTACCCCGTCCAGGGGCGGCGAGACGGCGGCTCTGGCCCGGCTGCGCTACTATCTGTGGGACAGCGACCTGATCGCCTCCTACTTCGACACTCGCAACGGCATGTTGGGGGGAGACTACTCCACCAAGTTCGCCCCCTGGCTCGCGGCGGGATGTATCAGCCCCCGGAAG